GCTTAAAAGTGCCTGGGATTTGAGTACAGTAAAACAGATGACAAACAAATGCTGGCATTGCCAAATTTTAAACAAGGTTGCAACACAGCTGTGAAAGCACTGACTTTAAGCTAGGGATAAAACCTCTTAACTGAAACAGTTGGTGTTGTAACATTTATTATTTTTATACAGGATAATAGATTGTTGGATGAATACATGTCAGTGTACAGTCTTAACCCTTTTTGTTTTACAGGAGGCACAGAGCCTGGAGCAGAAACCTCTAATGGTGACTCATTACTGGAGTGGCTCAACACTTTTAGACGTACTGGTAATGCTACTCGCAGTGGGCAGAGTGGCAACCAGACATGGCGTGCTGTCAGTCGGACCAACCCCAACAGTGGAGAATTCCGCTTTAGCCTGGAGATCAACATCAACCATGATCAGCCTGAGCCAGGGGAGCATAATGACACTGCAGATACTGCAGAGCTGCCAGTGACTGCCCCAAATACAACTTCACCCTCTATACACACTGCTTCCTCCTTCTCCAGCCCTCGCCCCTCAGCCATGTCAAGGCAAGCTCCATACCCTTCCCCCCGCCCGGCCCTCAGTAGGAGGATGCAGACAAGGCGTACACGCAGCAGTGCTACCACTCTTTCTGTGAGCCCCCCAGCACTTCCTGCACCAGATCCCCCTTCAGCTGCTGCTCAGATGAGAGGTTCCACTTTGCACTCTTTATCACCACCTCCCACTGTTCCCAATCCTCCCCTTGATCAAACTGCACCTTCGCAACATCAAGCCCTCAATGCTGAAGCAGAGCAGGGGCGGGAGGATATGTCCGCTTCTGTAGACTGTCCCCGTGTATCACCCCAGTCTGGGTCTCAGGCCCCAGCAGTGGGAAACGAATCTCGTGGCAGTAGGACTCGATCGCGTGGACGTGCACGTAGAGCTGCAGGGGGGGGTGGGGTCTCATCTCGCTTGTCTAGGCGAAGCCGCTCACCCTTGCACAGAATACCTGTTGTCAGCACCACTCCACCATCCAGTAGTGGTGTCAGTGGCTCTAGCATCCACACTGTTGAGCCAGGCAGTGGCACAAGCTCTGTTTCCATGGAGACAGGAGAGGCTGTGGCAGAACCTGCAGCTCTTACAGAGCCAGCTGTAGAGACAGGAGAGCGCGAGAGTGAGTCTCATGTTACAGGAGCAGGAAATTCAGCGGTGCGACGGCACCCAACCATCATGTTGGACCTGCAGGTGAGAAGGATTCGACCCGGTGAAAACCGTGATAGGGACAGCATTGCCAGCCGAACACGGTCACGTGCACGGGTTGCTGAGAATACTGTCACATTTGAAAGTGATAGTGGTGGATTTAGACGCACCATCTCTCGCTCTGAGCGTGCTGGAATCCGCACCTATGTGAGCACTATCCGGATTCCACTGAGGCGCATCAGTGAGACAGGCCTGGGAGAACCCAACTCCACTGCACTGCGTTCCATCTTGCGCCAGATTATGACTGGATTTGGGGAGCTGAGCTCACTGATGGAGACTGAGGCTGATTCTGAAACTGTTCCACCCAGTCATACAGATGCCATTGGCACAAATACTAACACCAGCCCATCCAGTCGTCTGCATGCAAATGAGAGTGCAGTTGGCCCGGTTGGCACAGGTGGTGTCGATCAGGAGAGGGTGGCACTGGTTGGAGGTGAGGAAGATCAGAGTGGGCAGGCCAGACTTGGAGGTGCGGTAGTGAGCACCACAGAAGGACGGGCCACCAGCAGAGACACCAACAACCTGGTAGAAAACGGTACTCTACCCATTCTGCGGCTGGCGCATTTCTTCTTGCTCAATGATGAAGAGGATGACGAACACCCAAGGGGCCTGACCAAAGAGCAGATTGACAATCTCTCCACACGCACCTATGGTCAGGCCAGCCTGGAGGGGGAGATGGGTCGTGCATGCAGTGTCTGCATCAATGAGTATGCCCAGGGCAACAAGCTGCGCCGTCTGCCCTGCTCTCATGAATTCCACATCCACTGTATTGACCGCTGGCTCTCTGAAAACAACACCTGCCCCATCTGCAGGCAGCCCATACTTGCAGTGCATCATGACTGAACAATTTGCTGTCAAACACAACTGTCATGTTCCTGGCTGGCTGAACTGAGCAGACCCAAGTTGGCTTTGCATGTACATAGCGCTTTCATGGTTTAATTTCTTTGAAAATATCCATTGTGTCGAAGTTGAAGAAGGTTAAACCAAAAGTGCGGAAAAGAAGAAACTATAAATGCAGAGAATTAACAAAACTTTATTTTTTTAGACTCCTCGTTTTCAGCAACTTATTGTTTTAGTTTCTTCTTCCTGTGACCTGTTTTGCTGATCTCTGTCACCAAGCGTCAGAGAACCATGTCAATGGATGGCATTAATGCTTAAGGAGCTCCAGTAACTGCTGCTGACTCACTTTAAATCTTCAATGTCTGATACATGTGACGTCCTTGTCACAACTGGTATACACAGATCACTTCTAGAGATGATTTATTCAGTATAAGCTGTAAATAACTCACCAGTGCTTGTATTTAAGGGGTTTGAAGCAAGATGCTCCTCACATACCAACTGTTAAGAATGGAAACAGGAAACCTTTAGTTTTTTAAACATTAACCATTTTAAAGCTTCAACGTCCATTTTAAAATGTCCCTTTACAGTTGGTTAAGAAATGTATGAGTTCTTGTTATGTGTATGAGCAATGTATTTAATTTTGAAATGTGTTTTATTCTGCACATCTGATATCATTTGTTTACGCTCGCTCCACACACCTGTCCTATATAAATCCAGTACAGAATTTCTCCATTAAGAACATTAACATTTCCCATATGAGCAGCACAATTCAAATGAAAGGCATGTGATAATCAGGAATTCAGAGTTGTAATTTAGTTTGAGTTGTGCAATACAGAGAAAAGAGACTGTATTTGTTTTGCTAATAGCTGCTGTTTACATTGTAATGCCTGATTATCATCTCCACTTAAAAACAAAGTCTTGTAAACCTTTGTGATTCTGAAATCACGTTTCCTCTTGGTTTCTGTTGTTTCTGACACATTGCGAACTGTTTCATGAAGTTGCATTGAGCGATTGGTCAACAAACGCTGAGTAAAAAAAAACTGGGACATCAATATTTCTGGAGTTTTTACTGGTTTCTATCTCACTCACAATTTGTTCATGAGAAAACTGTAGTTCACAGCATCTGGTGCATGTGCTGCATCACTGCTCCCTAACTACATTCACTGCTTATGAGAATCCGTAAACAACACATCTCTCCCCTAATTGGGTCTGTCAGCTCCAGTACTGTAACAATACTTTAATAAGGCAGTGTTAATATTGCATATTCCTACATGCTCTTCATGGTTTGTTTTTCCATCACGTCATTTACAGATGTTGGCATTTCTAGTGTAGCACAGGTGGATTATTTAGCTGAACACCCTAAATCAGTGTGTTTCCACCAGGGTCTTCATTAATAACAGTACACAGGAGCTACTGTCACGAACAACACAGTATGGATGAGGGTGGAAGAGTGGGATAGGTGTGTTTGGGTAATTGTATGTGTGTTTGGGCGGATGTGTGCTGAAGGAAAGGTCACGTGTTCCAATAAACCTGGTTCTTAGAAGGCTTCTGTGCAGTAGATGTGTCCACTTGGAGACAGGGAGAAGGTTGTGGCCACTCTGTGCAGAAGTGAATATTTATTCTGTTCCTATTTAATAAAATGGAAATCAACTTTTGAAATATGTATTGTTAAGATGTGTGAGAGTAAATAAAACAGTTATGAATATGTTACTATGTAATAAAAATGAAGACATGGGGTTTTCTTCTCTGCTCCTTAACAATGGAATAAAATGCAGCTTTGTTATGGCCGGAGATGTGGTTTGTGTGTTTATGTGTGAGAGGTTTTGAGTGACAGAGGGTAACAAGCTTCAGTATGCACACATGGAATAAATGACAATACTGAGTCGGTTTAATGAATGGAAATTTATAGCATTATAACACCTTTTAATACTTATATGAAATAGCTATAATTTTATCTTGTGGCTGCAAAACAAAAGTTAAGAATGTTAGTTTTGCACATAAGTAAATGTAAAATAAACAGGTAGCTACCATGAGCATATATCAGCTTCCTTAAAAGCAAATCATGAATTAAAAAAACTCCAATATTATCCAAATATTCCAGCTGATTTTTTTCATATAACGTAAGGTCTCACAAGAAACAAGTATTGATCCTCGAGCTCTTAATGTCTGACAGACTGGAGAACATGCGTCTAAAGCCCGGGTGCGCGCACGCAGCTTATCATCAGATGCGCGCTCCTTTGCTGAAGCGATGAGCATCTGACTAGTAAAGTCAGAAGAGAGCGAACAGTCGCCTTTCAAAATAAAGCGTAACATAGTTTCCTGTTTAATGTAAGGCTGCAACTTACAATTTTCATCACTTCTTAATCACCAATGGATTTGTTATGTCATTGATTAAATATTTGCTTTGTAAAATCAATCCCCATAATTTCCTTAAACACTGGTTGGCAAAAATAATAATATCTCAAAAGTTACATGGCAGAAGAATGAGAGCAGTATTTAAATAAAATAAAAACAGTGACATACAACTAACATGATATCATACAAATGTAGATATGTGACGATTAAAGATGTGTGCTCTTATTTTTATTTTATCTGGGATAATGTAAATACAAACATGCAAATATATTTCTGTCTGGGAAAAGTGCAACCCTAACTCATAAAATATAGATATAAATAAATAAAAACATGTGAATAGAAATAAAAACCGGGAAACGTTCTTGTGTGCATGCAATTGAGTTTCATGATAAATTAAGAATGTGTTAGCCTGCGTAATACCTATCTACGGTTGTACAATTACATATCTAAAGTTAAATTTTAAAAGTATTAGATGGAAAGTGAGCAGATCCACCTCGTCTCTAGTTTGACCAATGAAGTTGGCGCAGTTTAATTTGAAGTCAGCCGCCGGAAGTCGCCCCCGTTTCCCCTCCTCTTGACTCAACGGTGACTGAATCCGTCCTCCACCACATCACCTCCATCCGAGAAATAATGACCCGTGAGCAGCGGCAGCAGCAGCAGCAGGAGGTGGAGGAGGAGTGGCTGCAGCCGGGGCCCGGAGCAGTAGCAGTAGCAGCGGCGGTGGCAGCAGTGGCAGCGGCAGCGGTCTCCTGCTCTGTGGGGGAGCCATGAGCATGACTCCGCTCAGGCCTCCTCGCCCCAGCCTCACTGACACTCGTCCACCAGCAGCAAGATGTATTTCAACCGGAGAGCCAAGAAGATACACAGCGAGGGAGGTAAAGAAAAACCAACCTTTATTTCATCTGTTTGAGTTTCCCTCCTTAAATCGTGACCCGTCAAAGTAAAGTCGTGTTCGTGTCACTGGTGGGATCAGGCCTGTTCGAGCGGCCTGCACAGAACCGTGCGTTTTTCCACTATGTGCTCGGCATAATAATAACAGGGGGGTGCTGATGGAACGGGTGCTGCCCGGGACTGCGGCATGCATGTGGGGTGAGTTAGCTCTGCTGCACCGGTGTTTATCCTCCGGTCTCGGTTGGCGATGCAAGGACGAGCAGACTGCAGGTGTCTGGTAAATACATGGGTCCATGCCTTCAGAGATAACACCTGATTCATTCTCCATAGGATGAGTGAGATCACTGTTTATATAATGTACTGGAATGAGCATCATTATGGTGTGGTGTTACATAATGTTGTTGCAACAGCCTCTTGTATTTTGAATTGCACCTTCACCTAATGGGATGCTTTATTATGAGTTTTAGAAAATATATCTATGTGCTCATTTCATGTTCGCCCATATCTAGATATCTGTGAGAATTACACAAGTCGTTTTGCTTTTCAAACATCCAACACAAGCTGCCATAGATCAGTCCAAGAACAGCCTATTACCCCCCCGACTTAAGAACCACGTGACCTTCTAAAGAGCGCTCCTGAGCCCTGCACATCTGAGAGTCAAGGGCTGCTGCACACATGCCCTGTGACTGCACGTTGCTGTGTTGTGTGAATAAATGCCCATGGCAGCTTTTGCATTTGTTGACTACAGCTCCATCTTTTTTGCAAGAAGTGGCCTTAACCTCAGAGTTGGAAAGAGGGTGTGATATTAAAAACATCAGACTGCAGTCAGTGGATTCTATACAATCAAATGAGACTGTCCTGGAAGAGACGCAGCCAGCTCATCCAGTGACTTTTAATAGTGACGGGCACACATTGTATGGCTGCATTGCTGTTGTGTTTGTTTGTGTGTGTGTGTGGCTGCATGCCTCCTGCAGCTTCCAGAAATAGAAAGCAGGGCAAACAGATGAGCGCCAACTGGGCCGCGCTGTCTCCGGGCCAGAAGTTCCCAGATATTTTAATTGTTGTTTGAGAAGATAAAACAGCTGTTTGTCAGAAGAAAGGTCAAAGGATAAAAGCTGTTGAGGAACGCGAAAAACGGCACATAAGCCTTTAACCTTTATATTTGTATTCAGCTACAAGAGCTCTGTTCCACAAAGTAAAGGATTCATTAGATAATAAAGAATTGTACGTTTTATATAACTAATAATGATTGTTCCATATCTGACCTATAGTTTTTTAAACAGTTTTCAATTTGAAGAGCCATCAGAATCACCAGTAGACGTCGCTTTAGAGATCCATCACAGCCATTATTCATTCAGTTGAAGTTGTAGAAATGTCTGTATTCTGCGAATTATGTATAAAGCTCATAATAACATCCAGAAATCTTTATCTTTAAAAAACAAGATTCAGAACCAAATTGATGGAACGTTGCCTTACAGTGAAAGGAATCAGTTTATGAAACAATCTCATCAAATAATCTAAAACAATTTGCTTTGTTAATTCATGTCTTGTGAAAGAAGGGCAGGTTATATAAGATTCTTCTTCTTTCAGCTGCTTTTCATTCAAGAGTTGAGACTTTGTGTTTGCAATTGTTTCGTTTGGCCGATGAAAGAAATACACGTCTTGTACACGTCTTATTTGATACTCATTTGGCAAAACATCAAGTATGACATTTTATAATTTTCTTCTTCATGGGTGTTTTTTTTGTTTTGTTTTTGTTTGAGTGTAATAGTTTTATAAAAGCGTTCACCAGTTCCAAACTTAAAGAATGGTAATGGGGTGTTTACAGTGTCTGGTATGTACATGTGTTCCCTCCCAGATTCTCCATTTTGCCTTTACTGTAATCTCTTCGAACCTGACCTCTTGAGTCTTTGCTCCAATTAGTGATTCGCCACATCCCTGCCGATGACGTCTGCAGCTCCCAATCTGTCACATTACTCCCAACGTGTCCACACACAGAGGAATTATTTCATTTGTTTGTTTTTAAGAAGACCCTAAATAATGTTGCTTCTCCCAAATGCAAAAACACTTCTCTTGGTTGAAATTGCTCATTATACTGCATTATATTATGTCACAGTATATGAAGCAAAATAAACTCTAATTAAGATGTTTTATAGGTTTTGCCTATTGGATAGCCTAAATGATTTGGATTTAAACGTGAGGAGTGTTCTTGTCACAGTGTCGGTGGGTCTAGTTTATAGGCATCATGTGGCTCAGCCAACTGTCAACAATGTCGTCTGTTTGGGGAAGATAATGACTGGTTGTCATGGCTGCCAAACAACTGAAGATGCCATTTGGGAGATAGAGACACCTAATAATATGCCGTAGTCAGGTAGTTACATGAGTTGGACACAGGGGGGCACTCTTGGACAAGTTTCAAGCATTTTGGTCCAGTCCATTTCTCTGTATAACTGTCAGACCTCCATGTTTCTCATGCAGGCATGAATCTCGTCTTGCTTGTCATTGCTTGCAGGGACAGACGCATACAGACACATTTACAGTGCATTTATTGACATATAGATGTGTGTGGTATGTGTGTTTATTGACTTGTTGTCTTGTGTGTGTTGTTTTCTCCCGCCGCGGCCTCTGGTGTCCACAGAGCAGTTAGTGTTGACCACCATTAGGCAGGAGGCTTCTGAACTGCAGGACCCAGGCCAGGGCGCCGGTGCTGCCATGCGCGCCCGCCTCACAGACAGGTTCGACAAAAGTGAGTTTGCTCGAATTAGACTGGATGACGCCCAGTTTGAGTCCCAAGGTGCATGTGGGATGTGCGCAACAGTTCGGAGCAGCTGTCTGCCAACCCCCGGCCCTCAAGAGCTACAATGCCTAGTCACTCAATGCCTCTGGTTCTCGTCTGAAAAGGTTAAGACGCAGCCGTACTGCTCTGGACCCTGAAGAATCTGTAGCTCCTCAGGGCCTGGAGTGATGGATGCTGAACAGGAATTAACCTTCTCACTGCACATGCTTGTAGATAGTGAGGTCACCGCATATGTCAGGGGTCTTTATGCAGCACATTTGCATGTTGCAGTAAAACCACACATGCATGTATGGACATAAGCACTGCTGCATGCATGTATATGTGTATGTAACATGAGCTGGGTGTAGAGCAGGGGAGTAGCTGCATGTCGGGGCCTTGCATTGCATGATTTTTTTTTATCTGTGTGTGTGTGTGTGAGAGAGACAGTGTGTGTCCATCATGCATTGTCAGTGTTTGAGTGTGTGTGTGTATATATATATATATACAGTACGTGCATATGCATACATTAGTGTAATGTATGTATATGTTCCAGTCCTGTAGGGTAATCTGGTTATGGATTAGCAGCAGGTGAAGTTGCAGAGCAGACACAGAGGGGATTATCATGCTCGTTCACCCGGACTCCTAAGAGGCTTTCTTGCCTTATGTCCTGCTCTGTTTCGGTGGAAAATGGACCCGGTGGGAATGCCCAGCACCAGGTCAACCAGGACCTGCAGATAGGGCCTGCAGGCCACCTCAGAAACTAGGACGACCATGGGACGTAGGGGTCGCCCAGGCAGACGGAACTCTGTCGGTAATGCTTTATCAACAACACAGCTGGGTTGTGTGCTTGACAGAAGGAGTATGTGGGAAGATGTTTCATGTTTTTTTTTGTTTTTGATTTAATTGAAGTAACTGAGGTGATTGTGGTTCAGCGTTTAGCTCGAGAACACTTTGGCAGGAGCTGTTGCGGTTAGAGGATTAAAACCTGAGGTGTCGCTTTTAAAGGGGCAATAACTCCAAAAACTTTGACAAGACTGGGTCACAAAACTTGATGGAATAAAATATCCATGTCCTCTGATTTCCCATGTGCATTCATCTAAGTGCAGTTCCATCTAAGATGGTTTAACAGCTTCACAGACACTGTCGGAGTTGCTGTCCTCAGTGTGGCTTGTTGGGGTGAGAGCTGGAGGCAATTGTAGCTCTTTGAATATAACTGCTGTTATGATTAGTTGCTATTTTCTTTTCTGGCTCATCTCCGGGATAATGCGTGTTTGGAAGATTTCAGCACGACTTGATTGTATTAAATGCGTAAGCGTCTCCGAAGCCATTTCAAACACAATTCTGGCAGCTGCGTTACTGACACAGCCGCTGAGGGAGAGACAGTCGTGACGGTGGTTGATATGCGAGTTGTTTCTTTAGCGAAATACTGGGCACGGCACCGGGGTTCGGGTGTTTGGTGAAATATGCTCTGCCATACTGGAAAATGTAGATGAATTATGCAGCCGTCTCAATTCATTATTCAGGATGCTGCTTTTTAACTGCAAAGGTTTGGCGCCAGGCCAGAGCATGTTGGGTTCAGCCCAAAACACAAAGGTCACACTCCATGTGCTAACATTATCCAAAATGTTTCCATCGATGTTCAAACCCAGAGAAATCCCCAACAATATTCAAGGTGACAGGACATTTCATATTTGGTCACCTTCTAATTGCGTCATACCTGCTTTACCTGTGACTTTGCAACATATGACAAAGGACAAACACACTGCCAGCCAGTTTGCCATTCAGCTGTTTTTACTGGTCACTCGCAGTGGATCATGACTTCACTGTCATTTGTTGCCTAACATGAATAAAACTTGAATACATAACCTTTTTTGTTATTGTGTTGATAAGCAGCTGAAGTTACTTCGTATACGTTTAAGTGTATGTATTAATCGTATGGTCTTGCTATGTTTACTGGGACGTTTAATTTTATTTAAATGGTTTTTTTTTCATTATGCTTCAAATAACACATGTTCATAGTAGCGATAATTAAACGGTATATTGAACTTTGACTAATATATACACAGGATTGTTTTTAAGAAAGGGGGACAAGTCTCTTAAGAAACCAAGCGGGTGTCATCTTGCGTGTCTTACCAGCAGTGTATGAGATCAGGAGGAGGATCAGTCTAATCTTACCTCCTTCCACCGCAGGTTATCAGACTATCAGACCTATGGTACCTGCACTGGCTATAGCCCGGGTGCTTCAAGTGCAATTGACCCAGTTGTGCTCTGCTGTGGGGCTTTGCTGCCGACTCATCAGTGTGGCTCAGCTGCAATGAGTTATGGAGGGGACTGCGCCTCTGCTGCTCTATCAGAGATGAGTAACCGAGGCATTGATCGTCTCAGAAATGAATCAAAGCCAAAGTGGGGCTGTGGAGGAGGCCGTTATTGATCATTTGTACAGGGGTACCAGTGATCAATATTATCTCTAACGTGTGTTGCCCTTCACTACTTGCATCATCCTTAATCATTTCCCTAAGAAGCGCTTGCTATCTTGATTGACCCTGTGAGGGGTTTGTGGTGTGAGGGACTTTTTGCCCTATTAGGTCTACAGGTAACAACCTGGTCATAGATACAGAGATAAGGGAAAGGGTGCTTGCTTATTATCATTTTGTCTGGACTTTGACCTTTGCTCTCCAGCTTGTGCAGACACTTTGCAGCCATGGTGTCGAATACCAAAGGCTGGAGTTTAAGCCCCTAAAATCTCTCTTTTGCAGAGATAGAATGATGCAGTGTGTATTGCAATAAAAAAAAAAATTTAGGTTTACCTCTATTAAATATCAATTGCAAACCCCCCCCTAGAAAATAACACCCAGATGCCCTCAGAAAAAAAAGATGCAGTAATTGTTGTTGTTTCCTGTAAACAAATGTGCTTTATGTCTCCCTCACTGGAAAAGTGGATGTCTAATGTGTCATTAGGGATGATAGCACATAACCCTGACTGACTGCCTGGTGTCGGGGCAGTTTCTTACGATTCCTCGCCTCCCTCCGGACGACATGCATGAGTGGAAAATAATGATATTAGCCTAATTGATTGATGAGGGGAGACAGAGAGAGTGACCCTTCTATTGTGGGATTGTAGTGCTGAAGAAACTGAGTTTCAGGGCAGAGGAAATCCAATCTGCCGAGCCCCGCCAATGCTTATTCTTTTCTAAATTATTGATGCATTTAGTCTGTTGTTGTTTTCACTCACAGACTTACACACACACACACACACACACACACACACACACACACACACACAC